GTTTAGCGAGGTCAATTAGCCACATGCTCAAGTGTGCAACCATTGTGTAAGATTTGCACGAGGCGAGGAGTAGCTTATCGTTGTACAGTTTGTACTCAGCGTGACTTGTGACCAAATTTTCATTCAATTGTGGCAGCAAATGTTAACTCAATTGCAGCGGCAGGTGTTCAATTAAAAATGGCGTCACTCTCTCAGATAAATCTGGCGGCAGTGTTTCACTCAATATCTGCCTTGGTTCTTCTCTCAAACATGCCAGTGTATTCGCCAAACCGCTCACTCCAATACCGCTTACTCCGTTTCTACTCCTGTCTCTTGACTGCTCCCTTCTGTCCTTCATTTGGCAAGAAGAACTGCTAGAATTCCTGATCAGGATGGAGGAATTAGCAGAGACCTATTGATTAGAATTGGACCACCTGGTATTCGCAGTGCCGATAATCCTGGAGGAGAGCGCACGGGACTGGTGGCACACAGAGAGAGACGCCAGTGACATCATAGAACGAAGCAAAGGCCGTACTAAAGGAGAACTTCATATACCCCAGATACCAAGAGGAGCTAGTAAAGCAAGTGGCGGAGCGAAAACAAGCGGAAACAGAAACCATGAGGGACTACCTCCAGGAGATAAGGAAACTAATGAGGTTCGGAACATACACAGAGCAGGAAAAACGGGAAATAACATACCAGAACTGCCATCTGCCCCTGAAACTATACGTGAAAAGAAGAGAATTTCCAACGCTGTCGGAGGTCATATTCATATATAAGAGGAAAAATATAAACGGAGGCAGCACTCTCCAAGGTTACATGTCGCCAATGGAACAACCAACAAAACGACCAACCATCATAGCAGAGGAGACAATATCCACAAAAGATATTCACCGATGTGGAAACTATGGCCATAAAACCCGAATACGCAGCAGGGAACATGTACTGTACTGCTGGACTTGCAACAAAAAAGGAGTACGCATGATAGACTGCTGCAGAAAACCACAGGAAAACGCACAGGGCTCAGCACAAACCCTCGAAACTCCCGGGGCTCAAAACCAGCAGGTTGGGACACCACACAATTAATATTCAACAAGAACGAACTGCTAGGACGGGCCAGCATTGGATCGCAGCTGGAGGATCCGCGTCCGGCTCGAGGATGGAAGCACTCGGAGAACAACATGCAGAATAAAAACAACAGTAGAACGGTGGGGAAAAGAAACCACACAATCGTTCCTAATTATGATAGGAGTACCAGACAACCTCATACTAGAAATAGATTTCTTAAAAAATGCAGGCACAACGATAACGTCAGAGAACCAAACCCAGAGCGCAAACCGCAGCTCTACATTTATACCCGATACATAGTCAGTATAGCTACATTGAGACGGAAAACGGAAAACATGTCGTCGAGCGCTGCGTAGCCACTGCAAATTGATTTCTTGCTTTTGGCTACAAAAATGATCCGATCTGATCCAGATACAGCAATTTGATAGATATGGTCATTATCTATGATTCTGCGTTTTTAGTTTTCTCAAATCTTCAATATTGTGGATGCCACAGATTTTCGTTTTTTGTGGGGGCGGAAGCGGGTGGGGCGAAATTCTGAGATATACGTTTAAAAGAGTTCAGGCCAGCAGGAGATGATTGCCGCGCACTGTGCCAACGCCGGGCGCTCCGGTCCCAGCTTGGGCTCGTGCACTCGGAGGGGCGCTCGGGAGGTCTACGATCCACAGGTCACGATCCACACGGCGCTCAAGCCAGCATAGAGCATAGATCATAAGCCTTAGAAGTTAGTTACGTTTCCACCACCGATTCGAACGGCCAACCTACCGCGCCCCAGAACAAAATACACACCTACATATCACGAAACACAGCTACTTGTGTACCATACCCCCACCCCCTGCCCATTCTTTATTTATTTTGTGGCGGTAGGTCAGTCCATCAAAAGACACAAAACACGAACCAAACTCAAATTTTAGTTCTAGCGGCCAGCAATACTACACACACACACGCAAAGTACGTGAGAATGTATGTGCACCCATACACTAAAACATGCTGGAGGCAAAACAGATCCAGACCTGAGAGAGTTCAAAAAATCTGAAAAGTCATACAATCACATATTTTTGTCGAAACATATTGCGTGTGCGCAAAGATGTTCTCTCTGCGTTCTCTCTCATGATGACGCGTCAGTACTCTGGGGTACTGAACGCGCTAGCCAGTGTGTGACGCTTTCGTGGTATGAACTGGCACATCAATATACTGTATGGTTAGTGATAACACCAAATTTTGTGCTAACTTTTTTCAAAATGTAACTATCAGCTAGGCTCCGTTTTTCACATTCACAAAAGTTTTCCGATTTACTTTTGAATACACATAAATTGGGGCTCCCGTTTTCACATTCTGCACGATTTATTCTTTTTCAAACCGAAAACATTTTCGGTGACGAAATGAAAACAACGAACCGAACCTTAATTGCAAAAAAATAGATGACTTATTGATGCATTAACATAAACTTGACACCTGTATCAGCGTAATTTAACTTTTGCTTTCTTTATAAATCATTTTATTTCAACAACAACAACAATTTTCGTTTTGTTGCAAACAGTAAAAATATATGAAAACTGGAGAGCCTTAAAACGAAAACGAAACGTTTTAGCTGAAAACGTGATCCGCAAAAGTAAATGAAAAACGGAGCCTGCCTGTATGTATACTAAATTAATGTAAAGAGTGTATTTTTATACCTTTATGACATTAGACTATGAGAAAAGCAAGCAGGCAGCGATTTTCGATCATTGCAATTTTCAGAACCAATTTTGCTGGCTGGCTATAACATCAGTTTTTCGCAAATAGTTCCGCATTTATAGACTGACCGCCCGGAGACGTGTTTATAGAAGGCTACGTACTATCATACCATCTCTCTCTTCGCAGAACATTTAGAAAAGTCTAATGTCATATAGCTATTACTAATTTCTATTATTTGCGGCGGCTTGAAATTTAACGGATGTTTTCACTTTATACGTTATGTTGAATTTTTCTAAAAAAAAATTTCTCAATATTTGGATTGATAACGATAGAAATGATTCCACTGTTTTGAGCTTAATATTTGACCAACTAGAGACATGCATGTATTTAACAAGCGATGAGAACAACGATGAAATAAGTACGAGCTTTCCGAAATGCGGTAGATATATGGCAAATTTATACATAGATACATATGTATGTATGAATTTGGAATGCATATTATCTAAAATAAGCGTGAATTGAAAAAATATGTAAATAAAATATATCATAAAATATTCACATCAGTGGTAATGTAATGCAACAACAAAAACAACTACTAATAACTGCACCTTATATAGGCCGTTCTGAAATTTATCTCAGTCTACGGCGCCGGCTACGCAGCTGACGCCGCATTACCACGCCACAGGTGCTGAGCCCCAACATACATAATTCAAACCGGAGCTGCTCCTCTTGGGTGTTCTGTTACGAGGCGCGGCCCATGTAGCACTTGGTTCTCTTGAAGATGTTGATGTTCTTCGGACAGACGGCTGAATCCGAAACCTAAATTCACTTGTTATACCCGATACTCAAAATGAGTATTGGGGTATATTAGATTTGTGGTAAAAGTGGATGTGTGTAACGTCCAGAAGGAATCGTTTCCGACCCCATAAAGTATATATATTCTTGATCAGCATCAATAGCCGAGTTGATTGAGCCATGTCTGTCTGTCCGTCTGTCCGTCCGTCCGTCTGTCCGTCTGTCCGTCCCCTTCAGCGACTAGTGCTCAAAGACTATAAGAGCTAGAGCAACGATGTTTTGGATCCAGACTTCTGTGATATGTCACTGCTACAAAAATATTTCAAAACTTTGCCCCGCCCACTTCCGCCCCCACAAAGGGCGAAAATCTGTGGCATCCACAATTTCGACGATACGAGAAAACTAAAAACGCAGAATCGTAGAAGATGACTATATCTTCTAGAGTGCAAAATCTGAACCAGATCGTATAATTATTATAGCCAGAATCACGAAAACAATTTCACTCTTTCTCGCTCTGTCTCACTCTAACACACAGGTTTCATGGTCGGTTTTGGCAATTGCAAAATATGAGTTCAAGGATCTCAGAACCCATAAGAGCTAGAGCAACCAAATTTGGTATCCACACTCCTGTGATATCGGACCTTGACCGTTTTATGTCCAAATTTCGCCACACCCCCTTCCGCCCCCGCAAAGGACGAAAATCTGAGGCATCCTCTCAATCTCAGAGACTATTAAGGCTAGAGTAACCAAATTTGGTATCCGCACTTCTGTTAGATCTCACTATAAAACGTATATCTCAGAATTTCGCCCCACCCCCTTCCGCCCCCACAAAGGACGAGAATCTGTTGCATCCACAATATTGCAGATTCAGATAGCGAATAGTATTTTGAACGGTTTTTGATATTATGTAAATTGAAAATATATATATATATATATATATATATATATAACCTATATATTAGAGGTTCAGTAGATACATTTTTATTTCATATGAATTCAGCAGCTGGAATCAATTTAAAAACATCTTTCGATGTGCCCATACCGGAATTACAAGTCAAATCGAATTGGTCAATTTCTAATGAACGTCCAAGCAGGAACAGGGCCTATAAAATTAAAAATGTGTACAAATATTACAATTATGACACTTCTTCATAGATACATATACATACATACATATGTATGTATGAAAATAGTTTAACAAAAATTAGTAATAGAGAATAGTTACATTTTATCGAGTACAGATATTCGATCAGTTTGTCAAGTAAAATACAATGAATAGTGCTTGCTTGTAAATAATACTTTTCACTGTACATCGGTGAATTTCGCTTTAAAAAAGAGGGGTCAGTGAAAATAGATTCGAATTGTGTTTACAAAAATTAAAACATTTTTCCATATGCACACAGTTACATATGAATGTGCATAGCTTTCTATAAAAAATCTACACTCCTTTGTAGTGCATTGTCTAAATAAACAGCACCCTGTCTTAATTTTTATATATGCATGTTTGTATCAACATAACAAAAGAAATATTCTTCCTATCAGTTATTTTGGTATGTAAACCTTTTATTTACATTAAGCAGTCGTTCAGATTTGTGAGGTTTTCCAAAACAAAAATCCATGATGCATTGACGTACATACATATGTGCATATATGTGTACATACATACATATGTACATATTTAGTAAATTTTACGTCTTATTAAGATTTAAATGGTAAAAATATTGAATCGCTTGTTGAGTGCTCCATTATCCAAGTCACTTTTCCTGGCTTTAGCTGGAGAAACTATCTTAAAGTATTGAATGTTGTCAGAATTAATAGCCATGGCTCATAGCCCAGGCTCCACCCCAGTTACCTGACTTAGGTTCCGCGAAGCATGTTCGGGGAATTTTGTAAAAAAAAAAAACGGAAGAGCAAAATTATATCGAAAGAATCGTTAAAAATGGCACTGGTTTTTAGTGGGACACAATTAGTGAATGGGACACCTTTGTGAAAAGTATTCACCGAAGGCTTTTAGACATCATCAAGGCCAATGTATTGATGACCAAACTTTAATGATACGGGTGTACGAATCAATATATTTGTCTTAATGTATACTCACAGCGTCTTTACAGTAATTAAATGCATTGAATGCGCATAGATGTTTAATGTAAGTTTTGAAACCCTTGCTAGTTTGGTTTTATACCCAAATCTTAAAAAGAGTATGTACTACCCCTATAGTATATTAGCTTTGAGGTGAAAGTGGAAGTGTGTAACACACAGAACGTAGCGTTTCCGACCCCATAAAGTACATATATTCTTGATCAACATCAATAGCCAAGTCGATATAGCCATTTCTGTCTGACCGTCCAAGCTTTGTATCCGAGCAAACAAACTTTGTATGCAGACTACTGTGATATCACAATGTTACAAGTGTATATACAAAATTTCGCCCGAAAGCGAAAATCTGGGTCATCCACAGATCTTAGGGCTCGCGCACACTGTAGCTGAAAGCGGAGCTGATAGCTGATTTATAAGCTCTGAAAAAACAAACACACTGCACCGGTGCAAGTGCGCACATTGCAGACTGAGCTGAGCTGAAAGCTGAAAAAGCTCGCTGAAATCAGCTCAGCTTAGTTTGATCGATCAAGCATGTTTGTTTTTTCAGCAAGCTGATTGCTGATTTTGTTCATTGTATTGGTTCATAAGTGATCGAAAATGGGCTGCAAAAAATTTTTAAGCGAAATTACGGTTAACCCAGCGCTGGGGAATAAGCGGGACTATTAAAAATATTTGAACAATAGTTTTATTTCTATAATTTCTGGAAGGCGATAAATTGGGCAAAAAAGTTTTATTATTTACCATTACCAATGTAATGTAAAAATGTAATAATAATTCGTAAAATAAAAGTAATACGAATACAAACTCAACGGAAATGTGGTTAAAATACACGTAATTAAAAAAAAAAAAACGAAGAAAACTTCCGTCTGGCTACTGTACGTGCTGTGAAGTAATAATTCATTAACAATATAATAATAATAATTATTATGATATCTATTGATGCCACTTAAGGAGATAGACAAAGGGAGGCAGTGGTTTTCAGCTTTCAGCAATCAGATCAGCCGACAATGTACGCACCTGCAAGCTGATTCTGCCTGAGAAAAGCTCTCAGATCAGCTGAGCTTTCAGCTTTGATTTCAGCTCCGCTTTCAGCTACAGTGTGCGCGAGCCCTTAGAGAGTATTAAATCTTTTGAAGCTCCCACCTCTTTTAGATCTCACTGTTATGTTACAAGTTTACAAACCGCACAATCATAGAAAATTACCATATCGATTAGATTGCCGAATCTGGATCAGATCGGATCATTATTATCTGCAAGTGCCAACCGTCACTCAGCCGTGCGCCGCCGAAGAACTGACTCCGACCACTCCAAGTGTGCAGCAGTTGATCTCGTTTGCCACTCCAAGGGCAACGACAGCTGATGGCGATGCAGATTCGGTAGCCGAATTCATCGCCTCGGAGAATGGGCAGCCAAGTACGTCTGCAGCGTCCCTGTTGTCCGCAAGTTCGCTAGTTGTCCCATCTATCCCGATCCCACCAGTAAATAGACGTTCCGGACCTCCGGATATTGCCACCACAGGTACTAGGCCTGTGGTGACTAAACCACTGGTGGGAGTCCCACCAAAACGACAAGTTTTTGTTTCACGGCTGGCTCCTGACCTCACATCTAATGATGTAATTGCTTTTATTGAAAGCAAATTAAAAGCCGTGGGTTTAAAGGTGGAGAAATTTAACTTCTCTTATGCCAGGGAGATAGCCTCGTTTAAGATAAGCATCTCCCCAACTATATTTTAACACCATTTGCTCCGCCAAATTTTGGCCACCTATTCTGAGGAAAGCTACCCATACGGTTTACTGGGGTCGAACGGCATTTTCAGTCCCTTGTTAAATGAATGTTCTTTACTTCATGATCTTCGACTAGTTAAGCCGGTGTTTTTACCGGGTCCAGACGGGGTTCCAGCTTGTGTACTCAGGTACTGCGCCGAGGCTATGTGTGGATCCTTGCTTAAACTATTCACCCTGCCCATCGATTCTTCTTGCTTCCCCCTGATCTGGAAGGAATCGTTTATTATTCCTCTCCATAAAAAGGTAGCAAGTCTGATGCAAAAATCTATAAAGCTATAGCAAAGTTATCCGCTATTCCTAAAATGTTTGAGAAAGTCTTAACTTCGCACTTGCAACACCTTTGCAAGTCACTTATATCTCCAACTCATCATGGATTTATAAGTCAGCGATCAACCACCACGAATTTGTTAGAGTTTACCTTTTTCATTATTAAAGGCTTTCAAGGTAACTTACAGACGGATGTTATTTACACCGACTTTAGTAAAGCATTCGACTCTGTAAACCATTCCATTTTAGCGCATAAACTTGACCTTTTAGGGTTTCCGCACAACATCCTGAGATGGATTTCTAGCTATCTTTGTTCCAGGTCTCAAAGAGTCCTCTTCAAAAACTCCCTCTCTTTACCACTAAACGTTTCTTCGGGGGTACCACGGGGCAGCCATCTAGGCCCCTTACTCTGCACACTCCCTATTAATGACCTGCCTTCGGTATTAACATACTCTCGAGTACATATGTATGCGGATGATGTTAAGCTCTGTGTCCAGTATAAGGACATTTCATTTCATTCTCGCTTGCAATCCGATCTCAATAACTTTCAGTCATGGTGTTGTGCAAACTTGTTACGGTGTTAAGGTGCCTTGAAATGCAAAGTTATGACATTTCACCGTTCTAGCCCCTTGTTGGCTCCCTTTTCCCCATTTGGTGGTTATCTTGAGAGAATTACCCTGGTGGATGATCTTGGTGTTATGTTAGACTCCAAGTTCAAGTTTTCCGAACACATTTCTACCATGGTAAATAAGGCCATGGGCGTGCTTGGGTGTATAAAGAGGTGGTCAAAGGAATTGGACGACCCCTATATAACAAAGACTCTCTACACCTTGCTTGTTCGTCCCATCTTAGAATACGGCTCCTGTGTATGGTGCCGTCAGTACAAAGTACACCAGGACCGTATAGAATCAGTACAGAAAAACTTTTTACTCTTTGCTCTGTGGGGCCTTAACTGGGATGAAGGTGTGATACTCCCATCTTACTCTAGTAGACTGCTATTAGTAAACCTCCCATCCTTGGTTAACCGTAGAAAAATGCTTGGTGTGATTTTTATGCACAACTTGATCAGGGGTGACATAGACAGCCCTGATCTGTTGAGCCGCATAAACTTCACGATTCCTATTAGACTTACTAGAAATTTGTTACCGTTCTTCCTTCCACTTTGTAGATCGAATTATTCCTTGCATGAACCGTCTAGGGTCTTATGCTCGGATTATAATTCCCTCTACCATATTATATCCACCACTAATTATCTTCCTCTTATTAAATCATTAATCCTTACACACCTTTCTAGTAATTAGTAATTGTAGTGGTATTTTTATATTTATTTTGAATGCATGACTAGTTCTCATAGAAACTTTAGTGCTAATCTTCCTCGAATATTAGTCTAACAGCCATCTTCCCTGCATGCTCGCGTAACAGCCTTCTGCTGGTGTCACACGGGCCACTTGACGGTGCAGTAATTGCATCGCCTCTTGAAAGATGCAGTCATTGCGTGTTAACGTCCACGAATTATTATAACCAAAAGGAGCAAATCAATATGCAGCGCCCGACACGTGCTGACTGATTTTCTGTGTCTGTCGCACACACTCCTTTAGGAGAGCCATATTGCCTAAGTATCGGGTATAAATGTATTAATTTCGGGCGTAGCAGCAATTCACAACTTTCCCCTTCGTTTTATTCTGCAGTGTCATTTTTAACGAAGGCAACTTAACTCAACATCGTCATTTAGGCTTGAATCCAACGGAGTAGAAATGGATTCCATCGGAAATGTCAACCAAAGTCAAAAAATTAAGTCAATATAAAAAAAGTTCCGAGGTATCGATATTAATTTTTATTGATTTAAACTCAGCTAATTTAACCATTTGGAATATACTTTCATTAACTGAAAACCTGTTTAAATAAGCAAAAGATCACTTCTTAGGTATTTCGATAGCTATTTTTTCCTTTACTATTTTCTACTAATACCTTTACTATTACTAAGAAATTGGATTATTAATACAAGTTTTTGCTCAAAGTCGCTTAAAAGCCAACTAAGTTGTTTATTAAGAAAATATGAAGTTATTTATGGGAGAATGTGAGGTGATGCAGTAAAACAAACACTTGGAAAGATCATACATTCGCGACCGTTACTTAATTCAATTATTAAAACACCAATAGAGATAATTTATTGTGTAAATCCTCGATTAAACACATACATTAATACTCTTTAAAATAAATTAACTGCTTTAGAATATTCTGTTCTGCTTCGCAGATTTGACCAGATTAAGCCAAATTCTACGTCTATTTCGCGTACGTTTGCGACATGGTTATTGAAATTTTAGAATAGTTTTTCTAAATATGAAATACCGAAAACTTTGGGTGGCTGCAAATTAATGTATTTTATGACGAAAAAATAATGG